AAAATAACAACTGCTACGTTATAGATAGAAGAACGTGCAGGAGAATGCCTTGCAGTTGGAGCCACGATTGGGTGGAGTCGTGAAGCAAATGAATTGACACTAGTTTATGCATCTTTACAAATAAACGTGGACTAAGAAATGAGAAGAAGTGTCATTAGCGATTTCCAGCTTTTCGTGGTCATTATGCGGTGCATTAACAGGAGTGGCGGCTAAACCTAGATTTACACATCATCATAAATAACTAGCAAAAGCTGCAAGCATTACACTCACCGTGGATGATTTTGCAAACATCCTGATGCTCTACTCTAGTATTTCGTTGTAACTATATGTAAGCCGTAGTGCCATACTATCTACAGTCAAACAAGCTCAATCTAATAAGCAAGTTAATCTACTGTTACAAGTGAAAAACATGATGACCGTGGAAATAGAAATCCACTCACTGGGTGTTCCCAGTGCTCGTCCGTTCCGAAAAGGCAAGCATACAAGAACAATGAGGACCGAGGTGTGATTGGCAAAGATGAACCTCAACGATCATCCAAGACAAAATATATTATGGCTTATGTAAGCATTCTCCCAAAGTTTCCAAGGTTCTGTGGGTAAAAGCATACGCTAAAATATTTGCCTCGAACTTGCGCAATTCTCATCTCGCTGTATTTGTGCCAACCCTGTAAACAATGGAAAGAGGCGTTTCCCATTTCTGCACAAAATAAGAAGGTTTTGAATGAATATGTGAACAAACAAATGGGTTATTTAATGCAGATGTGTTTGGAATTTAGTGGCGACAACCATGGCGAGTGAAGGGAACGAGGGAAGTGATGCAATGCCCTGTTGGTCTGATAGAGTTGGAGATGAAACTGGAAACGTGGAGGGCGCGATAACGCCAGCAACTACACCACGTAGAGGCCTGTGGTGCCCGTCACGCCGTCCAGGTTGTGCTACGTCGGGCCGGGTTAGTACAATCGTTGGTGACGGATTCGGAACGCTCGGGTTTGCTGGCCCAATTTTACCCATCCCATGCCCATACACTTCACTCCATTTCATTTACCTCCTCTGCCCTCTTTTCGCTTCTTTTCTGTCATGTAGTATTCACTTTCAAATACTTCTTGGCGATTTCCTTTAATTGCACTACCAATCTTCAAACTCCCTGCTTTTCCTACACATTTATTCTATGTCACTACCTTTAGACCAAATTCTATTTTTTCTCCATTTTAGGGCCCTCTTTTAAGGACCGTGTTTTACTTTAGCTGGCACAGGGACAGTTAATGAT